CATTTACAAAAGGAGAGAGACTACGTGAACTTCCACGTACCCATTGCCCAGCTTCAAGAGTTAAAAACCAAGACCAATCTCCTTTCCTCTGTAGGTGTCCATCCCTCCTTTGGCTATTCTCATTCTTGTAATGGTCACCCAGTGGTGGGCAGCATTTGGGTTCAGGGGTGGGGACTGAGCTTGGCAAAGGAGATGAATGAGAACTGTGCTTCACCAGTATTTGTGTGTGCGTATTTGAGCATCCAGACACATGGCATGTATCGCTCCCCAAGGGTATGCCCTGCCGTGTGCACCATTTTACATTCCCAGGGGGCTGGTTATAAGTTCTGTTTGTTTCCACTCAAAGGTATATCATAAAGCAAGTAAGAGTGATCTTGTGGTAGAAATAACTTTCACCTTCGTGTGTGTGTGTGTGTGTGTGTGTAGAGGGATGAGTGAGGAACATGGGCTTCAGGTTGCATTCACACTGCCTCCTTTCAAAGGCAGGGCTGCTGTGTGATCTTGGAAACATACTTAACCTCTCTAGGCCTCATTTATAAAATGAAGATATGCTAATATGTACTTAATAAGGTTGTTGTGATCATTAAGGGAAATATTAAATGCCTAGGTCTTTGTTTCACAATCCCTGCTGAACAGGAAGCAGGACTCCTGGGAATATAGCTGATTCCCAGGCTGGAGGAGGGAAGGGTATGAGGTAAGTCTGGATTATTTTGTGCCAGAAAAAGGAAATGCTCAAAATCTGGAATGGAGTTTGTCACATGGACATGACAGCTCACTCAGAGGGGTGCTTACTGGCCAAATCTGGAACAACAGTTTTTGGTAACAGTTTTATTGAGATAAATTTCACAATATATAATTCACATGCCATTAATTAATTCATTTAAAGTGTACAATTCAATGGTTTTTTAGTATATTTGCAGAACTGTGCAACTATCACCACAGTCAATTTTTGAACATTTTCATCAGCCTCAAAAGAAACCCAGTACCATTAGCAGTCCCTCTGCATTCCACCTTCCTCCAGCCTCTGGCAACCACTCATCTACTTCCTATCTCTGTGGAGTTGTCTATTCTCAGATTTCATATAAATGAAATCATACAATATGTAGCCTTTTGTGTCTGGCTTCTTTCACTTAACATAATGTCCTCAAGGTTCATTCATGCTGTGGCATGTATCAGTATTTCATTCCCTTTTATGGCTGACTAGTATTCCAATGTATGGAGATATCACAATTTGTTAATGTATTCACCAGTTTATGGACATTTGGATTGCTTCTGCTTTTTGGCTATTAAGAATAATGCTGCTGTGAATATTCAAGTTTGCATGTGAACAAACATTTTAATTTCTTTGGGTGTATACCAAAGAGTGGAATTGCTGGGTTAATGGTAATTTAAAGTTTAAAGTTTTGAGTAGCTGCCAGACTTCCAAACTGGCTGCACCATTTTACATTCCCATTAGCACTTTATGAAGGTTCCAATTTCTCCACATCCTCACCAACACTTATTATCTATAATATCAAATTGTGGTTTTAATTTGCATTTCTCTGATGGCTAATGATGTTGATTATCTTTTTATGTACTCTTTGCCGGTTTTCTTTGAAAAAAATGTCTATTCAGATCCTTCTCCCATTTTTTAGTTGGGTCATCTGTCCTTTTATTATTGAGTTGTAAAAGTTCTTTATATATTCTGGGCATTGGAACATTATCAGGTACATGATATCTTCACACGTTCTGTGGGTTACTTTTACTTTCTTGATGGTGTTCTTTGAAACAAAAAGGTTTTAAATTTTGATGAAGACTGATTTATCTGTTTTTCTTTTTCTGCCTGTACTTTTGGTGTTGTAGTTGAGAAAACTTTGCCTAATGGTTTCAAGTTAACTGGGACAATTTGACCATCAAAATAAATGTCATTGATGGATTATAATCCATTGAATGAGATAGGAACCCACATGTCCATAATACTAATAAATAAATACATAATGGAGATGAAGAGGGGAGTTCTTCCTGATAAGAAAATGCTGACCACCAAAAGTAGAGGTAGTCACAAAGTTGGAAAATCACCATTCTGCAACCATCACAGACTGGTTTGGTCAAGAATCAGCAGTGGATGCTAACTCTTGAGTGGGAAGGTGGTGGGAAGCTTGATGAAGAATTGGCTATGTACATGGTCTTAAAGCTCCATGCACATTAGGTACATGGGAAAAATAGGAAGTATACAGTGGAGAAACCAGGTGCATTTTGACTCTACAATCAAAATTACATCACCCATGAGGGACACAGAGATTATGGGCCTCCAGATGTGTGATCCTGAGGATGTGCATCACTTAGGCAACATTCTCGCTAGGGATGCATAGCCTTGTATATGATCTTGAGGAAATACTGGGTAAATCCAAACTGAGGGGAAAATCCATAAAATAACTGGCCTATATTCTTCAAAGCAGTCAACACCATGCAAACAAAGAATGGGGCTATTTCTGTCACTAGGTGTGTGTGTGCGTGCACGTGCCTTTCCCCTTAAGTTAGGTGTGCATGCCTGAGCACCAAGGCCTGGCCTCCTCCACCCACCAGCGCCATGAGTCAGGCAGCTTCTGGCTCATGGACAAGGTGGATGCCCTGATGGCCTTGTTCCTTCATGCACCTTTTGTTCCATCTTCTAAGACCCACTGCATACCAGCCTGAGCTTGTGACCATTCTTTTCTTCTCTCTCCCACCCTAGAGTTGCCAGATTTAGCAAATAAAATTATAGGATGCCCTAATTATAAACAACAGAAACTTTATATGTCTCATGCAACCCTACTCTGCCCTCAGTAGGTTTCTCCAGAAACAGGTGTCAGTGAGCCTCGGGAAGCAGGGAGCACTACCTCCGTCCACCAAGTCCCCTCTCTGGGTTTCCTTGGGGAAACCAGTAGTTCCGGCAGATGCATTCCCACCTCCCCTTCCCAAGCTTGCCTCTCTCCTATCCCTCCTTGACCTCGGGTCCTACGTGTCCCAGGATTTCTGTGCGAATCTGTAGAACAAAGTCCTTGGATAGGAGCCTACTCTTCCTCATGAACTGTAGCCCCACTCCACTCTCAGCTCTCCATGTTCTATAAAAAGGCGAGAGTGCTGGGCCACTCCTGCCTTCTGGAACCCGAGTTCTGTGATGTCATCACTCCCCTGGAAATACTCTGGTCTTAGCCATGCAATTGGTTTGGTCTCGAGGCCTATCCAGTCTTCAGACAGAAATGGCAATGGGCCTGGAAGGATTGGTGGCAACTTTGAGGGAGACCATGGGGTGGGATAGGGTAGAGTGCTGGCTGCTCTTTCTGTCCACCTCCCTTGCCTTCTGGGAACGGTACTGCCTTTGAAGGACTCCTTCCCCTATGGGGTGTTAGTAGGGGCTGCCAGTCACAGAGCCCTGCCCTTCAGGTGACAGGGTAGTATGCCTACAGCCCAAACCAGTGTATTTTGAGTGGAAACTAAGTGGAGCAGCTCAGCTCCTCAGAGGAAGCCTCTGGGCAGGGGGCCAGAGGCCAACAGTTTGGAATCATGCGGCTACAACCCATCTGAGAAGATAAGCCTCCTAGAAGAGGGAGCAGAGTTCACACAGGATTCTGGCCCCCGAGTCCACCCTTTCTGATATTCTGCTCCAGGTTTTGTGTGTTTCCTTGTTAATGAGGTTAAGGATTTTATCAAAGATTTGAGCTATTTCTGTGAATTGTCTGATCATGTTCTTTATTCATGTTAAAAACTGTGTCTTTGGTATTTTCTCATTCAATTCCAGTTCTTTAAGAAATCAGGCCTTTGTCTAAACCAAATAAAGGATTTTCCTTGACCATATCATTTTAATTCTGTTACACATTTTTTCATGTCAAACTGTTTTACATAGTTGAATTTATCTATCTTTTTTCAGTGGTTTCTGGGTTTTATGTCCTACTTAGAAAGGTGTTTTTCACACTCTAAGATTACTTTTTTTGGTGCATTTATGGTTTCATTGTTTATGTTTAAATCTGAGATCCATCTGGAATTTATTTTGGTGTGTGGAGTGCGGTAAAAATCCAACTTAAAATATTTCCAAGATGGCCAGTTCCTCAAATACAAAGAAATGGAAGTCCTTCGTATTTGAAATCAAACCCAAACAAATTTGTTTGAGTTGCCGTAGATCACAGGACCCACAGTAATCCTGGGTCATCCTGAGCACTGGAAGGCTGCAGTAATGGAGCAGGACCACGCAGTGATCTCTCAGGACAGATGGAAAGGAAAGTTGCTACAGGAATTTCCCTGGGGGCAGGCAAGTGATGACTCTCTGATTAAACATCCCTAGAACCTAATAATAGTTAACACTTGGCACTTACTGCAGGCCAGGCTGTATTCCTGCTGTTACAGGAATTTACTCATTTAAACATCACAGCACCACTAGGAGCTATTGTTATTCCCATGTTACAGATGGAAGTTTGGAGAAAGGTGACTTGCCAGGTCCTGCAGAGGAGCTCCCCTTGAAGGGTCTGCCCCAAGGGTGTGAGCAATGATTAGCACCCAAGGGACAGCCCACGGCTTTTTACCTGAGTGTGAGGGATGAGTGATAAGGCCCTGTCCTCCTGCGGGTGTGCACATCAGAAGAATCTCCTGGGAGCAGGGAGGAGCTAGCACATGGAAAAGCAAATCCAGTGTTAAGATCTTTGGAAATGAATTTTCTCTTTGGAAAACAGAATTTTATTTTGGAAAACAAAGAAAAATCCTCTGTTTTTTTATAATACAGATCACAGAAAGGGCATCAGATCTTGCTGTTGCTTAAACAGGAGCATATATTTAAAAATACGTATTAAAAAACATTGGTTCAAACTAATTTGTGGACGAGAAAACTAAGGTCTATCAAGGTGGCCACGGTTCCAACCAAGTGGTGGTTGGGAAGCATGGCAGCTTTGGAGTTGGGGGTGAGAGGTTTGGTGCCATGTCCTACTAACTGTGTGACTGCATTATCCTCTCAGGTGTGTCCTCTCCTGTAAAATGGGAGGAAGACCCAACTCTCAAGGCAGGGGGATGAGGAAAAAAATGAGATTTTGGAAATACAGTGACTACTCAGCTCATGACACATGGTGGGCTCTGTGACTGTTTATTGGAGGCAGAGCCTGTCCTTTAGCCCTGTTCAGGACTCATCGTTGGGTGCTCTGGCTGACCAGCTGAACAGGTGAGGCTGCGTGGAACTCCAGGGATCTGCCACCTGGCTCTCTTTCCTGTCTCCTGCCCTTCCTCTGATCCCTCCTTGCTATAGCACCTCTGCCCCTTGAATGAAGATGGGGTGCTCCCTCTTCTGCAGAGGTGGAGGGAGGGGGGCGCTCTGCCACCAGGAGATGGTCGGTGGGGGTGGGAAACCTGCCTGGGAGCTGCTTAGGAGCTGCAGCTCCTATATAGAAATACAAATTGCAGCAAATTTGTCATCTCCAGAGAGAAATTGCATTTGGCATTTCAGTGTGTTTTGTGCTTTGATGCTCCTGTCTGTTTAAGGGGAGGGGAAAGAGTGAGGAGGAATCGAACTGGGCCCCAGTGAGTGGGAAGTGGAAGCTGTGGTGGCCGCCTTGCTATTTAGAAGTCTCCTCTCTCAGTCCTGGCTGGGTGTGTCTGGCTCCAGGGCTGAGGACTATTGTGTGTGCTCTCCTCCAACTCTGGGTGTAGCCTGGGCACACCTTGGCTGTGCTTACAGAAACATCAACAAACTTGGATCAGGGGTCAAATGGTAGAAGTCTGGGCCTGTCCCTGTCCCTTGTTGGTGGCCTTGCCCACTTGTGGGGGCTTGGGCCAGATGATGCAGTAAGCAATGCACCAGGCCAGAAAGGCCTCATGCCTGGTGGTTAACCTCTCAGTTGGTGGATTAGTTAACAGACCTTTTGATAATAGTGCTTACTCTCTGCCTGGTGCTACTCTAAGGCCATGGGTCCATTAACTTGTGGATCCTCACAGCAACTCAATGAGGGGGGTGCTGTTATCTCCCCCACCTTATAGATGAGAAACCTGAGACACAGATTAAGTGACTGGTTCAGGTTCACAGAGGAAGTTGGTGGCAGGAAGTCAAGTCTCGACTCTTAATCCTGGATTTGTAGCCAGGTGTCATCTGTGTGGTCAGTCCAGTGCTGACCCTCCAAGACGAGGTGTGAGGGAAAGTGATGGGGAAGAAACCAGGGTGTTCTAAATCAGGGATTGTTGGGGTCTACTTGGTTAATCATGGTGGATTCCTGGATCAGGACAGACGTCTGGGGCAGGTAGAATGATGTCAGAGGTTTACTCAGGTTGGTTGGTAGGCACCCCAGGCCCCTGAACCTGCTCAGGCAAAGGCTGGGAAGCTGCAGTGGGGTGGTTAGGCAATGGAGACTTTGGCAGTTTAGCAATCTGGGTGGCTTTGGCTGAGGAAGAAGGGGAAAAGGCATCAGGGTGCAGAGGTCCTCAAGTTGGCCTGGTAGAATTCCCCTGGGAAGCTTTAAAAAATGCTGATGCCCAGGCCTGGCCCAGCCCCATTGAATCAGAATCTCCCCTGGTTATTTTAATATGCAGCCAACAGTGAGAGCTACTGAGTTACAGGAAGAAAGGAGGAGCTGATGGGGAAGACATAACAGCATGAGATAGGAAGGCAAGGAGGCAGGAGAGAGAGGGCTGCAAGCCAGACAGCAGGGGCCGTGGAGCAGTGGACAGAAGGATGAATGCAGGGAGTGTTATGAGGCTGCAGACAGTGGGGTGGGAGAGCGGGCACACACCTGACAGCCCAGGTCCTGGCTGTCCTGGACAGAGACTCTCCATGTTGCCAGCCCACCGCCTGCCCTGCACCCATCCTGGGGGTGCTAGCCATTTCGGTGAGGGGCAAGCATTCAGCTAATACTTAGGTTCCCATCACTGCCTCTCCATGGAGCTGCCAGCCACACTGCCACTGCCAGCTGTATGCAGAGCTTATCTCCCAGAATGGTACTGGATCAGTAACAGCCTTGGCTCTGAGGCAGCTCAGGGCTGCCAGGAGGGCAGGGGGGTCTCATGGCCATTGCCTTGTCAGAGACCCAGGGACTTGGGAGGAACCCTTAGAAGGGGCCAATGGCAGCTCAGAGCCCAGGGCTACTGGGAAGCAGAGGTCCCAGGCCCTGGAGGAGAAAAGAGGGAAAGGGATGTGCTCACTGGTGTCAGCCCTGGTTCAGGTAGGTGCTTTTGTGCAGCAGTGGCCCTGTGGGTGCCGGGCACTCTACAAAGGCCTCTCTTTAAGCAGGCTCTGTCTCTAGACTCCTGGCATCAACCCTGAAATTCCAGGTCCTGGAGTCAGACAGATCTGGGTTCTGACCCCAAGGCTCCTGCACATCTGTTCTCTGACCATGGCAAGGGAACTCTCTCCTCCTGGCCTCAGCTATTTTACTGGTATGAGGATCACAGTCTTAACCTCACAGGTTTTGTGGATTGAGACCACATGTGTGAAATGCTTCACACAGCATCAGCACAAGCCCAGCAAATGCCCCCTCTCACCTCTTTTCCCTGCTCTCCTCTGGCTTTCCCCAAGCCCTGGTCCCTGGTGTCAAGTAGCTCCGGGTTTCTACAACTTCTTCTGAGAAGAGACCTCCGATGACTCTGGGTCCTGCCCAATAGTTCCGGGTGGGCTCTGTCTTTTTTCCTCTTCCGGGAAGGGATTGGGGGCCCCCTTCTAGGCCCCGATTGCACCCAGGCTGGCCGCCTCTTTTGTTCGCACAGAGCACCGTGTCTTCAAGGTTCCGGCGATGCTTCCTATAGTTTCTTGACCTGGAAGGTGGGCCCAGAGGACACGTGAGGGGTGGATTTCCAGGTGAGAGCAGTTCATGCCTGGAGGGATGGGTATGGGGAGTTACGGAGGGCGCTGCCAAGGAGAAGGTTCTGGGCGATTTAGGAAGGATTTGGGAGAGATGCTTGTTGCTAGGTGACCAGCAGGGGACGGTTGGGAGAAGTGATCAGGACTGCTGCAGAGAACCCAGATCCTTTTATTGTTAGCTTCTGGGTGAGTTCCTGTCCTCAGGTCTGTCCTCCTGCTGCTGCTCCCTCTTCTCTGTCTCCCCCATCCAGTGCCATCAAAAGCTGCTGGGTGCAGTGATGGGACAAAGTCCCAGGTTGTTGGCTTGAGGTTTTTATTTTCTTTTATTAATATTTGCAGTGTGTGTTGTGTGTGTAAATGTTTGAGTGGGCATATCTGCCTGTGAGGTTTGCATGCCCGTGTGTACACAGGTGTGTGTGTGTGAGAATATAAGAAGACAGTTCATAGAGGGCTGGTGGTGGCATCTGCTTCCCCATATTGCATGCTCATCAGGTGTCAGATACTTACTACACCCTTTTATCTAAATCCTTCCCATCGTTTCCCTGAATCCTCACTGCCACCCAGTGAAGTAACCAATTATGCCCCCATTTTACAGATTTAAAACAGAGGCTCAGAGGACTTAAGTGTGTTTGCTTGAGGTATCTCATTTGGGAAGTAGGAGAGCCAGAATTTGAGCTCAGATCTGCCTGTGCACTTCAGCACTGAGTGAGGTTCTGCAAACAGGGTTTCCTAGCTCAGTGAAGCCGTGTCCAGCTTCAGGAGAAAGGCTGGTGTAAGGCACGTGCCCTGGCCTAGGACTCAGCAGGCCGGAAGTCTGCTGTCAGGTTTGTTGCTGATGACTCTCTCTTTGATCTTCGCCTTCTCTGGGCCTTACTGTCCTAACCTGTGAGTGGCCCTGTGAAGTTGATGTCCCATGGCTGGCCCCTAGTAAGGGCTCTGGTTCCCTAGTCATGACCTGACTCCTGTAGAAACGGGGGCTCAGAAGGACCCCCTTTGTCAAGGGTAGGCCAACTCTGAGGGATCCCCAGGAAAGCCCTGAACAGAGCCAGGCAGAAGCCCACTCCTGCCCTCCTGGAGGTTCCAGGGCTCAAGCAGACACGTGTAGAGTCCAGCTGATGCAAGCATTCTCAGAGCTGGTGCTTGGGGTGAGCTCTGCACTGTAGGGGGTCTGAGATGCAGACAGGGAGGTGACTTGTCCACTCAACATTCAGAGAACTAGTGGCGGTCATCACCAATCCATGGGTACATCTTGCTTCTTTCTGGATGAGGGGTCAGGGGCTCTGACCCTGGAATCCTGGGTCCTGAAACCTGATGGGCATGGCTGTTTGGATGGAGGAAACTCAAAATTGGATGGACCATCAGGTAACCCTGAGTCAGTTGGCTTCAGAATCTCCTCCGAAATGTCAAGAGTTCCCTGCTCTGTCCAACAATTGGTTGATGGCATCCAGTTACCAATAATTCTGACTCAGTATGGACCCACTATGTGCCAGGAGCTTTTACACATGCTGCCTTATTTAAGTGTAATTGCAGCCCTGTGGTATTATTCTCCCTGCTCTGCAGATGAAGAGACTGAGGCACAGAGAGGGTAATTTACCCATGATTGTCAGGTAAATTGGTCAGGATGTTTGGAACCCAGTCAAGGCCATCCCTAGAAGGACTTGCTTTTGAATGTGTATGGAGCACTGAGTATATGCCTACCTTTGTGTTAAAACCTGGCACTGGAGAGCCTTGGACTATGGGTGAGGACCTGCAAGGATACTCAGATCCTTGCAAACATCAACGGAGGCAAGAATGGTTCTTCCCCCTAACCAGAGGAAGAGACTGTGGCTCAGAAGGGGAGCGGTAGAACTGGGATTCAAACCCAGGACAAGCCAAGAAGAAACTGCTGTGTCAGGTCCCTGGCCTGGCTGCTGGGGTTGGCAAACGTTAGCCCCTGCTCACAACAACAGCTTTTAAGGGTTGGTTAATAGCGTTCCTGTTGGTGTGAGCGAGGGTCCTTCCTACAGACGCATTCCAATTCGGTGAAAGAGCAGTAAGGATACTGTCTTTATGGAAATGGGTCTTCAGGCTGAAGGCAGTGGAGACACCTGTCTTAAGGAAATGCTCTCCTCTCTAGTTTGTTGCCCTTGGCCAGATTTCCCCTGGGGTTCCCCTTGCTCCGTTGGCTCCCTTCCAGTAATTGCTCTGCCCACTTCTCTCCAGGCAGCCTTGAGGGTGCAGTGCTGTGCCCACTTACTTAATTCCCCCACACTGGACTAACCAGGACTAGAGCATTTGGACTTGGGCTTCAGTTGCAGCAGGAGGGATTTTGGTTCGATTCTAGGAAGCACTTCCAGACAAATTAGGAATTGTGGGAGGGTGCATGTACGATGGGAGTT